CTAAAACAACCCCTTCCAGAAGGTCCCCAGGGATGCTACACCCCAAAGCCACCTTTTCCAAAGATCCCCACGGATGCTACACCCCAAAACCACCCTTTCCAAAAAGTCCCCAGGGATGCTACACCCCAAAACCACCCTTTCCAAAAAGTCCCCAGGGATGCTACACCCCAAAACTAGACCTTCTGAAGGTCTTCCAGGATTCTACACACCACAACTACCCTTTCCAGAAAGTCCTCAGGGATGCTACACCCCAAAATCACCCTTTTCTGAAAGTCTTCAAGGATGCTACACCCCAAAACCACCCCTCCATGAAGGTCTTCAAGGATCCTGCACACCAAAATCACCCTTTTCTGAAAGTCCCCAGGGATGCTACACCCCAAAATCACCCTTTTCTGAAAGTCCTCAGGGGTGCCCACACCCCAAAACCACCCTTTCCAGAAGGCATCATGCACCCCAAACCCCCCCTTCCCCCAGGTGCCCAGGGGGTGCCCAGCAGCATCAGAGGGTGCAGGGGGCTCACCAGGCAGGCTGTTGTTCACCAGCTCCAGGTACTGCTCCACGGAGGTGAGCACCTTGTAGCCGGCGCTGTTGACCAGCACACGGGGCGGCAGCTCCCGCTCGTAGGCCTGGGCAGGAGGAGGAGATGGTCACGGATGATGGGGAGCATCCATGGCCACCCCACCACGACTGGGGGTCCCTTTGGGAGCTGCCCCCACCCGAGATGGGCAGAAGGGGGGGTTCTCCTCACCAGTTTGTTCTCGTAGAGGACCAGGCCGTAGTTGTGCGGGACGACGCAGAACCGGTTCCGCCACTTCTTGTTCTCCTCGATGTACTGGAAGATGTTGCCCGAGTAGATGACATGGTCCTCCAGAGGGACCTGGGGGAGCAGACAGAGAGGTGGGAGGCACAGGGGGGTCGTTGAGGGGCAGCTCTGGCTCAGGGAGCTCAGCCAGGTCTGTTTGTGGTGGTTGGGTGGGTGTTGCTGCACTAGGGTTGTGCTGAGGGTCTCCAAGTTCACCACTGGGTCATCTCCTGCAGCACTGAAAATTTTAGTGCCTGAATAGGTGTGCCTTTGAGGGGCACCCCATGCACAGCCCCAGAAAACCCCAGAGAGGGTCACCACTGGAGTCACACGTGGTGGTGTTCACCACGCTCTGGTCACAGCCCTGCCCCTCCATCTCCATACTGGGGGACACACCAAGCTCAGCCGAGCGACCTGAGCTCCCCTGGCTGAGTGGTAGGTTGGAGAAGAGCCCTCCAGCAGCAATTCCCAGCCCCAGCTCCTGCAAATTCCATGGCCTGGGGCAGTAGGGACTGTCTGTGGCACTGCTGGCAAGTGGGCATCAGCAGGAAAGTCCTGCCAGAGGCATCTGCAGATGGCAGGAACCCAGCCCTGCTCTGCTGGGTCTCCAGATGGGAAAGAGGAAAAGCAAGAAGCCACCCCATAGGGCTCAGCATCAGTTGGTGTTTAGATGTTCTGGACTTCATGGAGGACCAGCAACAGCTCCTCTAAATGAGGAGAGATTTAGATGGGATATTGGGAAGGAATTCTGTCCTGGGAGGGTGGGGAGGCCCTGGCACAGGTTGCCCAGAGAAACTGTGGCTGCCCCTGGATCCCTGGAAGTGTCCAAGGCCAGGTTGGATGGTAGAAAGTCTCGTGGGAGGTGTCCCTGCCCATGGCAGGGGGTGGAACCGGATGAGCTTCGAGGTCCCTTCCAACCCAAACCATTCCATGACTCCACAATACGATTCTATGACAGGAACAGGCCAAGGACATCCCCCCTCCCCTCTCCCCCCTCCCAGAACAGCCCCTCACTGTGTCTCCAGCCCCTCTTGGCCCCCACACCGCAGCGTTGACACCATCCCAAACACAGCCTGGCTGGGAGAGCCAAGAATCTGTCCCAGGAATTTTTATGATCCCAGGAACATAAACAAGAGCCGAGAGCTCTCGTGAGGTCTCGAGTGTCTGGCGGCCGCCTCTGTTGCCGTGGCCACCCACCATCCACCACGGTGGCCATCAGGAGGGACCATGACACAGAACCTGGACCCTTCTGGAGGAACTTTTCCCACTCTTCTCCCTGTTTCCCATCTCCTGGTTCCCAGGAACCTCACTCACTGCCTTCCCCAAGCCCTGAACTCTCCCCCGACCACACACCCACCTTGGGCTGGGGGAGGTCTGAGAGCAGCTTGGCTGACAGCACCTCACTGCTCCTTAGGGCTTGCCAAAGCCCTTGGAAGAGAGAGAAGAAGCCCAAACTAAGCCCTGCAGGGCTGAGGGACTGCAGGAGGCAGGAGAATCTGAGCCCCAAGGCCACCAACAGGATGGGGACAGAAAGGAGGTGCCAGCTCTGGGAGCCCCCATCAGTGTCTCCCCAGGGTGGCTCATCCAAGGAGAATGAGCCCCCCCAGACTGGCTCTGAAACCACTGCCCAGGGCACACTGAGCCAGACAGAGCAGCTGCTGATGGACTAAAACCCAGGCTGAGCCCTGCCAGGGCTCCAGGGGACCCTCAGCTCAGGGCCAGCAGTACCCTGGGAGCCCCTCCTGACACACCCTCCTTGCCCCAGGGAGGCACCGAGGTGGCACCTCCCAACTCCAGCAGGTATTTGGGACAGGTAGGTATGTGCCAAATTGTGGGGATGGGCAAGGAGGAAGCCCCTGGGCTGCCCAAATCCCTGTCATGGGGCTGGGGAATGGCAGTTTTGGGGCTGCCATGGGAGCAGAGGGTGTCAGGGATAGTTTTCCAGAGGCTCTGGATGGGGACACCTGGGTTGTTGGAGAGACCAGAGGCAGAGATATTTATTCCATATTCTCACTGCTCTTGAATCTTGCTGGTGTTTCAGATGACCCCAGCCCTGCTGTCCCCCTCTGCCCAGCAGGGCCACCAGCCCCTGGTCTCACTGCACTGCATCCCCACAGAGACCATGAGAAAAGGCCAATAAATAACTAACATTTAAAAATCCCAATTGCCACATCCCAGCTGGACCTGCCTGAGGACAGGTAGGATGCCATCCTCCATCTCTAGACATCCACAACTTTCCAGGCATGTTTGGGGAGCAGAGAGTCCATCTGGAGGAGAAGATCACCCAGCTCCTCGCAGAGCCACCCCACAGACTGGTCTCTACAGTGTCTGGAGCACTGGGACATCCCAGTGGCACTGCTGGGATCCTGGGAGGGGAGGGGCAGCAGACAGGACACTGAGCAAGAGGAATGTCCTATTTATACACCGGTGTTTTCCAAGCCTTGCACGGTGTCCCTGACCTCCCGACCTTGCTGCTGTTGCTCAGACATTCCTGGGCTGCTTGAAGCAACAAACCTGGGGATGGAGGTACCTCCCGGGGAGTAGGAGCTGAAGGCATCTGCTGAATTCCAAGGAAGCCAAGGGACACGGTGCTGAGGACACTGGGTGCCTGGCTCCTCCACAGGAACCTCCCCTCCTTTATTTTTCCTAACAAACCCAGCACCCAGGGCAGCTCCCAGAGGAGGTGGGTCAGGGACACGACTGCTGTGAGCACCCAGGGCTTGAGTGTGATCTCACAGAGGTATTTTCAAGATTTCTAACAAAAGCATCCCCTTTAAGCCCCAGACAAGAGCAGAAGCCTCTCTCCATGTGCAATCACATCTCCTCCTGCTTTCAAGGAGCACCCATGGGACAGTGGCTCCACAGAGGATCCCAAGCCCTGTCTGATGAGCATCCCCTGCCCGTTTGCATCTGCCTTTGGAGGAGGGAGGAAAGGGCAGGATCCCCCCCGGGTGCCAGAGCCACAAGTTCCATCTCCAAGGGAGACCTTTAGCCCAGGCAGGAGACACGTGGCTGCTGGAGATCAGACTTGGAGCCGGCTCCGCTTCCCCCACAGGATCAGGGACATCTGCCAGGTGTTTCCGACTCCTCCCTGGGAATTCGCCCAGGCTGGAGCATCACTCGCACCCAGGAGCAGGAGAACAACAGCCTGGTACATCTGCTCAGGGCCTCACCGGGCACCAGGGGGTCCCTGAGCTCCTGCCAGGCACACAGACATAGAGGGGGTTGCATCCCAGAGCCAGCCTTGTCCTCACTTGCTGCCTGTGCTCCTTCCACAGGGTGGGAAAGGAAACCACCCCATGTGCTGCACAGCTCCCCAGGGATGGGCTGGACCAGTGGCATGGGCTACATTCCACCTGGTAGGGTGGAGCAGGGCCGTGCCTGGGCTTTGGGGGGGACATCAGAGCCCGTCTTACCTTGCGGTGCAGCAGCTGAGCCTGCGGGCCCCCGTTGCCCTCGATCTCATAGCGGACGCTGTTGAACAGAGCTACCCCGTACTGCTCCTTGTAGCACCTGCAGAACTCCCCCAGCACCTTCCCTGTCTTCTCTGCAAAGGGAGAGCAGAGGCATGTCAGGCAAAGGTCAGGGTTTGGGGGTCTCCTTGCTGCAAACCCACCCGGGTCACCTCAGGTGCCCTCCCCACCCACCTCCCGTCACCCTCCTGCTGCCAGGGCACACTCTGGTGCAGGCAGCACAGAGGAACCTGCTGCTTTCTGCCCTCCCCATCCAGCCCAGGCACTGATTTGGGGTCAGGACGATCTCTTTTCTTGGCCTTTCACATTATTTCATGGATTCCTCTCCCCGGCAGGAAATTCCTGACATTAAGCTGATTCCGGCTTCCCGTGCCTCATGCAGCTCCCAGCCCTGCTCCCACCAGCTTGGTCTGCTGGGATTGGGGCAACCCTCCATTCCCCATCCCCAAACGTCCCTCACACCCCCCCTGACCCTGCTGTGCCCCCAGAAGGGCCATCCCAGGCTGGGATCCAGGCCCTGCAGCTGGTGATGCACTGCAGAGACTCAGAGGGGAAAGGACAGCCTGGCACCCCCTACCCTCTCCATGGCACCCCCAGGTGAGACAGGCACCCCACCAGGACCCCAAACTTCAGACTGGGATGAGACCAAGGTGCTGGGAGAGCCTGAGCTGCCAGGTGCTCCCCTGCACCCCACACTGGAGGAGATCCCCTCCATCCCTTCCCCAGCACCCCTCAATGCACAGGGTGGGGGGATGCTGCAAACCCACCCCCCAGCAGTGGGGACAGGGCCTTCCCAGCCCCAGGGGGGCAGTCACAGGAACCCCTTGTTCCTCCTGGGCCATCAGCCACAGCAGAGGAGTGGGGTTGTCCCCCCAATCTTTACGAGCACCCCTGTCCCACAGGCACCCTGACCCACCCAGCACCCTCCCCACCCCAGCTCCAGACCCCACATGGGGCTCCCACACCAAAATCCTGGCACGAAGCATCCCAGAGCTGCGGGAAAACCTCCCCCAGAGCAGCCTTTGGCACAGGGTGCCTCGACTTTGAATTTCCCTCTCAACTTTGCCCCAGAGCCTGCGAAAAAGGAAGAATTTGAGTCTCCTCCAAGTATTTCTGACAGCTCAGGCCCTGCCAGAGCACTGGCAACGGGAGGAAGGATGCTGGCTCTGCATCCCAGTGCCGGAGCCAGCACGATGCTGGGGGCATGAACCCAGACAAAACAGCCCCCCAAGCTGGCTCGGCACAGCTTGGCAGCAGCCAAAATCTCCAGCCAGCAGCCGCCTCCGAGCCGTGCTGGCAGCCAAGGCAGCACAAGGAGCAGCTTGCTGCAGGGTGCTGCAAATCCCTCTGGGGATGAGCAGCTCCAGAGGAAAACGCTGCCCGAGGACAGCGGCGGGGGGGAGATAAACCCATCCCCGAGGAGACGCCAGCGCTGCCGGCAATGGGAGCAACTGCGGCACAGCATCGTTGTGCCAGGGCTCAAAACCACTTTAAATCGCTTTCACTTTAACACAGTTCTTCACAGCAAAGGATGAGAGGGTGGCTCATCCCGCCAGAGGAATTCCTCAGCCCGGATTTTTGGCCTTTCCCCCCGGGAAGGTACAGCCAGGCCGTGCTGGCGTCCCGGCAGCACCTCTGCTGCAATTCCCGGCTCCCGAGCTGTGCGATTTTGGCCAGGGAGCGGGGCAGCCGTGCAGGCAGCTGAGATTGAAAAGGACATTTTGAGGTTTTGTTTCCTTTCAGTTCATGGGAAAAAACGAGCCCCCGGTCCCCGGGCAGGCGAGACGGGCTTAGTCACTCATTCCTCCCTCATTAACGGCGGGGCCAATTAGGAGGTTTGGAGTCAATGGAAAAGCAAAAGTCAGTTATTTGCAGAGGTTGAAACAAGATTTGTAGTGAAATATTTGAGGTGACTAAACTCCCCCAGGCTCAGCAAACCCCTGCAGGGTGTGGAGGGGGTGCTGTGGGCCACTGATGATCTCTGAGCAGTAGCCCTGGTGGCCACCCCAGGGGAAGCAAGAGGGACAGACACACATGTCACAAGGTGACACCAGGTTTGGCAAGGTGTGGGCTGCTAGTGGTGGTACAGCCAGGCTTTGCTTGATCAGGGGATGGGGAGCCCACACTAATGATGCCAGTGGGTGCCCTGACCCCCAAAATTCACAACACCCTGTGTGGGGCTGACATGTCCCACATGGGAACCAGCTCAGCCACCCACTGGCTCCTTCCTCCCAGCAGTCCTGGGACCTCTGGGGATCACTGGGGATCCTCTGGCCATACAGTGAGCACTGGGGGCTATAGAGAGCATTTCCCCCTCAGGATCCACAGCCACAGCCACCCATGAGCGCTGTCCCTCATGAGCAGCTTTGTCTGCACATCCCACCAAGAGCTGGAGGGGTCTGGGGACAGGTGACAGTCCAGGGAACCGTGTCCTCTGTCCCCTCACCACCATGGCTATGGAGAGAAGGGGCTTGGCTCAGCTTGGTTGCCTCCCACCCAGCCACCCCCCATCCTGGGTGCAGGCTCAGACACCCACAGCAAAGTCCTTTGGCAAGAGGGAGCACACACAGGGACCTCCCTGGGATGGGTGTCCCCAGCCACCCACTGCCAGCGCTTTCTCAATCCTGGTGTTTGCCCTGGGACTGCTGTGCTCCACCACACCCCCCCTCCCAGTGCCACCACCCCATCCCTGTCACACCCAGCCGTGCAGAGGCACCGGTCCCCGAGCAGCTGGGGTGGCTGGGCTGGCACAGGCTGGGCTGGCACAGGCTCCAGTACATCCCTCTGGCTCCTGGCAAAGGCAGGGAGAAAACAGCGGCTTTGTGGGGTGCCAACAGCACTGAGGCCTGGCTCAGCAGGATCCCCTGTGCCAGCACCTCTGGTCACAGAGCTCCTCTGTCCCCAGCCCCTCCTGCCTCCACAGCATCCCCATGACTAAGCTGCACGTGGTGGCTGCAGGCGGAGATAAAGTGGCTCCAGAGCTGGGGAGGGCAGAGAGAGGCAAACCCTGAGCCAGGCTGGGTGCAGGGCTGGGCAGGAGGCTGGCAGCAAGGATAGGGTTGAGCCATGCCACACCAGCTCCCAGCCACGCTCCAGCCCTACTGCTGGATCCCCAGGGACCCCCACACCCTTCTGGCATCACCCAGGGGGCACAGCAGGGCAGGCAGCCCTGTAGGACACCCCACACAGGGACAGGGCAGCAGCACAGGTTTGTCCTTGTCCCACATGAGTCCCTGAGGTTTGTCTGGGGGAAAGCAGCCTGGAGAGGAGGCTCTGCTCCTGCCACCCCCCCAACCAGTTGTGCCACCACCACTGTCACCAAGCCCAGGGCAGTGCCATGGCCACGACACAGCCCTGGGGCAGCTGGAAGCCCAAGGGCACGTGCAGCCCTCGTTGCTGAGAGGTCACGGCCCGGCCAGAGCAGCCCTGGCCCAATGTTGGTCCCTCTGAGCCAGGGCAGGAGGTAGATCTCGCCCTCAGGATTCCAGAGGCCACAGCAAACTGGTCCAGCAGCCTGGACTGGCTGTGTCCTGCCCTTGGGAGCATCCCCAGCACCATCAGCAGCCCCACACATAGAACCACAGGATGGTTTGGGTTGGAAGGGACCTTAAAGCTCATCTTCTTCCAAACCCCTACCATGGGCAGGGACACCTTCCACTAGCCCAGGTTGCTCCAAGCTCTGTCCAAGCTGGTCTTGGACACCTCCAGGGATGGGGCAGCCACAGCTTCTCTGGGTAACCTGTGCCAGGGCCTCCCCACCCTCACAGGGAAGAATTTCTTCCGTATATCTAACCTAAATTTTCCCTCTGTCATTTTTAAGCCACTCCCCCTTGTCCTGTCACTCCAGTTCCAGATGAACAGTCCCTCTCTGGTTTCTTTGTAGCCCCTTCAGAGGCTGTGAGGTCTCCACACAACCTCCTCTTCTCCAACATGCACCCCCCATGAACACACATGAACAAACACACACATCCCCCCTGCACACCCACACACGTCCAGGGCAGGTTGGAGGCCAGCAGCTGACAAATCCCAGCGGGAACACTCATCCCATCCTCCCTCCAGCCCACATCCCCTTTGGCACCCACAGCCCTCTCGTGTCCACTGGCCTTTACATCTGCCTGAGGGGTGAGGTGCCTTTGGAATCCCAGCCCTCCCCAGAACCCCCTGGGTTGATGCAGAATCATGGAATCATGGAATCACAGGATGGCTTGGGTTGGAAGGGACCTTAAAGCTCATCTCATTCCACCCCCCTGCCATGGGCAGGGACACCTTCCACCAGCAGAGTGAAGTGGGAGCAGGAGCTGGGAGCAGGGTGCCCAAGCCCCTGTGGATGCCACAGGGATGCCCCACCCCAGGCAGGGAATTTTCCTTCTGGTCCAGAAAAAAATAAGAAAAACAAAAAGGACAAAACAGCTCATTGAAGCACAACCCCCGGGCTGGGGGGGTCGTGGCATGGTGGGACATCCCAGTGGCAGGGGACCCGTGGGCAGCATGTGCTGGTCTGGCCAGGCTTGCCAAGGGGAAGGAGTTAATCACTAATTTGGCCAGTAAATGATTAGTGAGCAGGGGTGGGTTACTGAGGGCACTGCAGGCTCCCAGAACCTGGGTCACTGACAAGGACAACCACCACAGTGGCACTGACAGGGACATCCACCATAGGGCTGGCACTGACAGGGACACCCATGGGCTGGCACACAGTGACACTGACAGGGACAGTGATGGCCTGGGTGGCTCTGCCATCAAGGGACACCAAGGACAAGGCCACTGCAAGGGAGGCTGATGCCACCAGTTGTCCCAGGTCATCCCTCTGAGCAGGGCTGCTCCAGCCAGCCCTCCCTGCTGCCTGGTCCAAGCACACTCAGGGGTGTGCCCATTGTCCCTTGGCCACCCTCCTGTGCCCCAAATCCTGGCATTCTGCAGACAGTGTGTCTGGGCTTTCTCCTGAGGGCACACAGCATGGATGGGCTGCACAGGATGCCATGGGTGGGGTGCCCAGCACACCAGGGATGAGCCAGACCCCAAACCAGCAGCACCCCACGAGCCCTCAGCAGTACCTGCACATGAAGACCCGTGCACA